CTTACGTTCACTAGAACCTTAACGAGCTTACGACCGATAGACCAGTCCTCTTATTTCGAGTCCAACCTTAATTTCTTTTTCCTTCGAACGATAGAACGTTTCCCTTCTTTTTGTTCTTCTTTCTTTTCTTTTTTCTTTTCTCTTTTTTTTTTCTTTTCAGATAAATCGATCAAATATTGTCCCGCCTAAATAGTTTGAGCCATTATCTCTCGATGTTCTCTTTGAAATCTATTAGGTTTTTTGTATCTTCTCTTTTTTTTTCCTTTTTTATTGTTTCCAACTTTCGTATAATTTGGATCATTTTTTATGAATTTGATCGATGCAATTTTGATAGAAGAATACACTCTTCCAACTTAATGTGATTAATCAGATTGATCTAAATGTTTCGAACATTTCTATACCTTTCAGTACTAATTATACTAATTATATATATAAATAGATACACATGTTACATCTGACAAGTCTCAAATATTATTATCAATAATAACAGTATAACTTATGATTGGTATGTGTGAAGATTTCTCGATACGATTATTCATAGATCATAACTCTAATAACAGCAATAACAACAACACAGCAGCAACAATAACAATAACAACAACAACAACAACAACAACAACGACAACAACAACGACAACAACAACGACAACAACAACAACAAAAACAATAACAACAAAAACAACAGTAATAATAATGATAAAAATGAAGATAAGCTATTTGATTGGATCATTATCAGAAATCATAGAAAAATGTTAATCTTGTATATCACAGTCGGGCTTATCACGTGGGTAGAGGGACAACAAACTTCTTCGTCGTGTTCGTCGTGGATGAAAAACTTTATGAGCGGTTTATGAGCGCAATAATCCGCTCGTGAGTAACACAATACAGGCTAATTATAGAGGACGAGGTCCAGGCTGGCCGACAGGCATTAACGCACGCGTTAAACTCACGGCACGACAGCCTGGGTGGCTTCCCTATTTTCGTCGTTTTTTCTTCTCATTTTCTTTCTTTTTTCCCCTGCCCTCCTCACTCCTTTTCTTCATCTTCTTCTTATTCTCCTTCTCCTCCTCTTCCTCCTTCATACCTCCTTCATTCCTCCTTTCCTTTCCAACTCATGCACTTCGCACTTTGATCCTCGCGTCGCTAATGCGTCTCTGTTATTTCAGTCCTTATCCCTGACAGTTAGACACTAGCAAGCTATAAGGCGACCTTTTCGATTCATGTAAACCGATCTTCTTCTTCTTCTTCTTCTTCTTTTTCTTTTTCTCCTCTCGGTTGTTAGTCGTCTGTGCTGGGATGATGACACTACCGTCTACGTTAGTAAAGAGAGCTTAACCTGTTTTCTTTCTCTTTCTTATTGCTCAGAAACGGTTCCCCGGATAATGCTAATAACGTTTCTTGGATACACGTACTTACGATACATGCCTATTAATAGAATAAAATGGAATGGAATAAGACAGTAAGAACGATAGATATCAATCGTTTATAATTGTTTGTTAACACGTTCCGTGCCATCTGTACCACCGGCGGTATACGTTAAACTTGATCTTCAGGCCACGTGTACCACCGGTGGTACACGCAGTCATATTTATTTAATGCTCTGAAAACATATATTTTATGACAAATGTAATTCTGTAAAATATATTTCAATCAAAAAAATGATGCATTATACAAAATGCAGTATAGAACAAAACACATAAGTTTATTTAATTGTTATATATACAATAATTAATAATTACATTTAATGCTTGTCTCATTGGAAGATGATAATATAAATCTACATGAGCGTTTTGTACTAAATGGGAATTCTATTTTCAGTAGAAATAGAACTGGGATTATCTCCGTCGTGTACTTCCATATTACCTATCATCAGGGCTAAAAAATGAAAGTTAAATAACTCGCTCAATTCAAAAAATTACAAGATGAAAGAATAACCTAATGAAAGTAAATAATAGAAATTTGTTTTCCAACAGAAACAAATGAAAAACAAAAAATGTTATCTCCGTATATTTACCTACTCCTTCTTTTGTTGAATATTTTATTTCTCTCGTTTTTTATTTAACAAATTCGAATGCAGCAGATTTTTTACTAATCGAAAAGCTTCGAACCGACTGACTTTTGCAATCGAATTGATCGCAGCGCCACGTGTACCACAAGTGGTGCACGATGTGATAATTACTCTAAACAAGAGAACTACTTATGTATTGATGATGTAATGAAATATTGTGTGATAATATATCAATCTTTAGTCAAAATATCAAATGGCCTAAACGACAAGTCAGGCAAAAATTGCTTGGCACGGAACGTGTTAAATTTTATTTCTCGATTTCTTCTCTGTATATAGGTATCACTAGACGTATAATTTTCTTTCTTCTTAGAGATCTTTATAAAGATCGATAATGAGTTCCTGTCAATTTTTCGATTGGAAGTAACAGAAGTTTCAATAATGCGAAGGAAAAAATGAAGGAACTAGAATCGCGTGAAAATCTAATCTCGATAT